ACTGAGAGAATCCCTATTTTTTCTTCATATGTTGCTTGAAGACTTTAGAACCCACATATAGGAAGAATGAACCAAGCTATGTTGACCTTTCTTTCTGTCGCTTCCTTCACTTCCCAGTTAGAGAGGCTTAACAGAGTTAGGGAGCAGAGTTGGCTGTAACTTTTAAAACAAATACATTTCTGTGGAGATAAAGTGCTTCTCCTACATCCAGTGCCCTTTAGCTGCCTAATACTTTCCTATGGCATGTTATAACTGTGACTGTCAAGTCTTTACTACTGAATGCTGACTGTGCTGCAGATTCCTGTCGGGTTTTTCAGGCCCTCTGATGTATGAGGATGTTTTTTTCCACGGTTTTTCCATGATTCCTCATAGTCTAAACATCTGCGCCACAGTTATGTGTAAATGAAATCCCTTCTATCTTGTTTCAATGTAAACTAGTCACATAGGTTCAAAACCTAGATATCTTTCATATTACATGTGACTTTCTCCTTTCAATAAATACTTCATTACTCAAAGAAGTTTTTGATCATCTAAATTTCGTACCTAGGTTCTGAATATGATGTTGTATTCTGAACTACCTTTCTCTTTCACGTAGGCCAAGGACACAGATAATGTTGCAAGATAAGTAGAATGATCTTGGGATTATTATTAAAAAAAGAAAAAAATAACAGGAATAAAAGATACTATCAGTTGTCTATGAGTGTTCGGAATGTATTTTACTGTCTAGCAAATCAAAAGTAACATGCAAGTATGTCCCATGGGCACCAACTTTCAAAATACTAGGCAATTCATAGTGATTTCTTTTGGCAGAATACATCTAGAATGATAAAACAAAAAATTTCTTGGTTCTACCCTTTCTTAATGAAGGAGTTAGCAGAATGCTGCTCTTCTTTTCGATTACTGAGAGTCAGAATCAGCTCTACAGATCCCAGCATGCTCCAACTCTTTTTGTATTTGATGGAATGAGTAAAACAGACTGAAAGTAACAAGGCAGGAGATTTTACTAAGTTATAATCTATTAGGAAGCATTTTCAAGACCAGCCAGATCAGCAGAATTTCAAAATACTAATCTGTATGCAGTGAAGTATCTATATAAAAAGCTTATGTGTTCATAATTCATGATTAAACATATCATTATGTGCATAAATCTTTATATATTGAGACTTCAGGGCAGAAAACATATCTATGTATAGCTTCTGCAGTAATTCTGAGAGACTCTATTGTCTTAGTTTTGTACAAATGCTTCAGAAAAAGGTATTTTATGTAAATTTTCATTTTTATTTTAAATTTTCATGAGGAGGTAACTGAAGTAGAAGTTATTGCATCCCTTATTGAGTTTGTTGCACCTGTGTAGGAAGGCACTAAGGTCTCAAAAATCTATAACAGAAGGTCTTAAAATTCTTCCAGAAGAAATTCTTATTTCTGCAAACAGCAGATAGAATAGGATCAGCAAATAATGTATAGATTATATTCTGTAGGCCCTCCACTCTCTGTAATGGGAATAAATAATGAGTTGAGAGAGAATTAAAAGCACTAGAAACCAGGAAAGCAGAGGAGAGAAAAAGTCAGATATTTCTATACTGGTCTTCTCTGCACTCAATGGAAGACTATACAGTCATTTTTTCCTCCTGATTTTGAACTACAGTTTTAAAAATCATTATCTGTTCCCTCCCTGTCTCCCCACCATGCACAGATTTTTAAGATTATTTTTTTCAACTGCTTTGTCTTGTTATTGAAGGCCAAGATGTGAAGTTTCTATTTCTTCACATTTCAGAATTTGTTTTTTTTCTTATGGATTATATTTTACTCTTATTCATACCATTTTTATTTTGCAAATTCATTCATAAGAATTGTCTGGGAGTCTTAAAGTTTCTATTTTCTTTTTCCTTTTTTATTTTTTGTTTGGGTTTGTTTTGAACAGTAAATTCTATTTAATGAGAATTTAAATGAAATGAAATGAAATGAAACACTTCTGATTTAAAAAAATGTAAAAAGCAGGATATGACCTTCTTGCAACACCTCATGGAAGGGCTCGGTTCATCTTTCAGTCAAGTGATAAGTGTGATAGGGGAAATTACCAACAAATGTCAGAAATCTTCTGCATTTACTTGCTGAATTTTTTCAGTTCTGCAAGGAAAACAGCTTTAACATCCAGATCGTAATCGGGGTTCCTTGACCATACTCTCTGCTTATTGTGTCTTCTTTTTTTTGTGCTACCTTTGTCATCCACAGATCCATGATACTTTTAGCCACTTCAGGTGCTTCTGGGTGGATCTTCCATTGCCGGGACTTGCAATCCAGCTTGTAAGGGAAAAAAAGACAAGGAGCAAATATAGTCTGAGGAAATAATGTTGTTGATATGCTTCCTTTGCTCTCTTAATAGCCACTTTAATAAGTATAAGCAGCATTAAAAATTACTTTTTCCCAAATATTAGATTATTAGGTGTACTCAGCATTTGTTGCAAAATGTAAATGAATGAATTTAGAACATTTTAAGTCCTTCAGAAATGGAATATAACTAAAGTATTGAATGCTAGCTTTATCATGAGTATAAAGCTTTAAATGCTTGATTTAACAACAGCAATATAATACTGGTCAACCTATAATGACCCTTACTTGTGAAAGTATCACTTTTAAGACAAGATAACAAGGTATAACAAATACAAGTATTGGAGTAGAAACACCAAAGGCCCTGTAATATGCCCATTCCAAAACTATTTGTGTAAAATTTTGCAAATCAGCAACAGTAAGTAATACAAATACTGTTGAACTGAATCACTATAAACTGCATGTTTCTAATGCAACCCTCATAAACTAATTAATTGTAGACAGGATTAGTCCATGCATTATGGTTTGTGTCTATGAATTCCTCAGTCAGTTCATTTTTTAACGTCTTCAAAGAGACTAGAATTGTAAGTGTACAAATCTGATCCCCAGCATATATAAATAATACATGAAGTATAGTTGGTACTCACTATATTTAGACCAAGAGTAAGTGTGGAAACAAAATGCAAATCAATTTAATTAGAAAGCAGCCTGTCAGATCAGAAGACAGCTTAAACTGGGTCCAGGATTATTTCTCTGAATCTAATGTTATTTAAGTTGTTGTTGTTAAATATTTATATGCAGTGTAATGTTGAAAATATCCCCAGAAGATTACAGAATGCACTTACACTTCCCCAGGCTCTTGTGGACTAATCACTTTTCTTCTTCCATCTGACTGAAGAAATGTGTCAAGTATAGGGTTTTGCAGAGTTTCAGTATAATCAGAATGGTCTGAAATAGTGTGACTTAGGCCCCTGCATGCACAAGAGAGTAGAAGGAGTTTGTTTCCCTTCCTTTCTCTTTCCTATATAATGCTTAGCAAACAGTTTACCTTCTAGTACTAAACATCCTCTTTTTTTAAATGAGAAAAACCCAAGTCCTTGCAATTTAAATACTTTGAGTCCTTGCAATTTAAATACTGAGAACCCTTCCCTCCTTTTATTCTTGAATAAAAGAAAAAGTACTTTTGTATTTTGTAATTAATAGTCCTTTCTATGTTCTACTTCTATCCTGGCACAGCACCTCTTTCCTATTAGCTTTATTCTCATAGATCTAGATATGTAAACAGAAATTGAAGAAATAAAGAATAAAATAAAAGAAATTCCAAAAATAATATATATGCTTTCTGACAGTTTAAAGACTATAAAATATCCTATCCATGCAATTCAGCTCCTTCACAGTTGATCACAGTACATTATATACTCAAATGGACAGCATCTCTCAAATGGATACAGAGGATTTTTTTAAAAGTAACAAGTTAATGAAAATGCATTTTATTACTCAGCTAAAGGAAACCCTAAAATTTATAGCTAGTAAGTAGCATTATCATGACAGAAAGAAAAAGAGAAGAGCTTCGTTGTAGAATTGCATTCACATCAAATGAAAGAGGGGATGCCAGGCCTTTTCATCTAAGCTTTTTTTTTCCCTGAGATTTCTTAACCACTTTAATGAAGTCTTTTGTTCCCATTTTAGAAGGAGAAGGAAAATGATGGCTTTGTTCTCTCCTTAAACATTACACAAGTCTTAACATAGAAAGCACTTTTAACTGATGTGATTTACTCTCTAAAAAGAAAAGAAAAGCTTTCTCCACTGCCATTATTCATTTATTAATGCAGGTTTTAAAATACTCATTGAAAAGTCCTTATGCACCATGTAAAGAAAAAGAGAGCAGATGACATACATAGATATGACACCACACCTTGAACTGCTCCTTGAAATACTGAAATGTTCAAAAGCTACAAAATCATCATGTCATTTTAAAATACTGAATTATGAGAAAGAAATACATCAAAATATGGGAATTTTACATCCCTGTTATCCAAACACACTTAACCTTATCTTTCTGAATGCATTGCTACTTGGCACTGTTAATAAGTGTGTGCATGCTTGAAAGATGTCTTAAGTGCCTAACGATCTTTTATATAGATATTTTTGTGGCTTGGTCCTGATGCGTCATTTGTTTTTTGGTCTTTTAATAAAGTAATAGGATAAAGTGTTCATTTAATATCAGATGTTGTATTAGCTTTAGGGTAACAAGCTATGAAGCAACAGCCTATAGATTTATGTACATTAGGCAAAATCTACTGCAGCATAATTAAAAGCTGATTGAAAAAAAAATTGAAAGAAGAATACTGTTTGGCTGAATATAATAGTTGGGTATGAAGGTGTTCTGAGACCATGGAACTAAATGTGACTGGAATTGTTGCATCAAATTGCCTGGTTTAAAGAAACACCATCTGGATCAAGTTTTGTGCATATGTGTGTGCACATGGGGGTTTGTATTTATGTGACCAGTGTGACCGTGTTGAGAAGTAAATGGCTTTTTGATTAACGTTATGGTTGTTAAGGATACAGTTTTTCATGTGACATTGTATTACATTTTATTCTTATCAGGAATAACTAACATTTCATATAATATATTCCATGCAATATGTCTTCCCTATGGTCTTTTTTAGGTTCTCCGTACAGAGACAAGATCACTATAGCAATTCTTCAGCTGCAAGAGGAGGGCAAGCTCCACATGATGAAAGAGAAATGGTGGAGGGGCAATGGCTGCCCAGAGGAGGAAAGTAAAGAGGCCAGCGCTTTGGGAGTTCAAAATATTGGAGGAATCTTCATCGTGCTGGCAGCAGGATTGGTGCTTTCTGTCTTTGTGGCAGTGGGGGAGTTTTTGTATAAATCAAAAAAAAATGCCCAATTGGAAAAGGTAAATATTGTCATTAACTGTTTTATTTTATATTGATGGTCTATTTAAATAATACTTTAAATATGTGGTAGTGAAATGTAGGTGATGCATACTTACTGTTTATTGTTATAGTACAGTAATTATATAACAAAGGATGAGAGAAATATCCAAAGTTTTACATTTACAGCTTTTAATTTGTCTTCAATGTGTTTAATTGTAGCCAGATTTCAGGACAAGTGACTATTTCTCCTCTTATTCAAGCCTGAAAAAAGACAGCTTTTTACTCCTGGAAGTTCACTGCAGTTAATTTTATGGATGAAGAAGAAATCTGAAACTGTAATGGGAAACAAATTAATCTTCTACAGATAATTCTGATTTTCAAAAGACAAACTGTCCATAGCTGAAAGTTAAAATCTAAAAATGTCTCTATAAAAATGTTCTTTACAGGAGTTTATACCTGCAAAATTGTCCTAGTAGCATCTGGAAAAGATTGCATCAGCATGATTCTTTTTTTGGTGGGTTTACTACTGATATGATGGCCTGTAATTTCAAACTGACCCAGTTTTGAAAATTCTATTGTTAACTTGTTCTGTACTTGCAATTCATACTGTAATTGTGCGAATACTAGTAATATATTGAGAAATTCTCAGTTGAAATGATAATTTTTTGCATAATGATTAAACAATTCTTTCTATATGTATGTGCCCATGTTTAAACCTAAACTAAAAATGTATATTTTACTGCTATGGCAAATTCTGAATTTCAAAAATTGAGAGAAACTCTTGGATTTTACTAGAGGTTTTTTGTAGTCATTTTTGTTTGGGTTTTTTTGATTTTCTTTTGGTTTTGCTTTTGAGGTGCTTGTAAATGCAAGCTTGTGAATGCAAGCACTATGTCAATTTCTAAATTTATGTTTAGAAATTTAATTTAATAAAATCAGTAGTAAATCCATAGCTATATTTATACTGGTACTTTTCCAGGTGCTACTGGTGAGTTTTTGTAACTTGAATCACTAGTCAGAAAATTTTCTATTTGTTTTCACTTCTTTTGAGGCAACCTTTTGGTATTCAAGTGTCCTGTTATGAAGATACTGTTAAAAAAGTTTTTTTTTTCTAATACACACTAAGGCAGTGTGAGCTTTCAAGGTCCTAAATGCTGTTTGAACATGGGTACATTTATTTAATTGTTAAAGAACACTTTAGGTCCTCTTCTCTATGATACTACAGGCTAATTCCTTCTGTTAAAATTCTATTGGAATGTTATGTTTCTGAAATGAATTTGTAAGGAAAGCATAGTGGTTACTTAAGAAACCCATGTCAGTCTCAATAATTTTTATCCATTCCTAACATGAATATCAGTATAAATCATTTTAGCTTTTCTAGATTTTTAACAAGCTCTCACTTAGAAAAAATAGGACAGTTTTAGTAATAATTTTGGTACATGAGTTCAGTTTTTACAGGGTGTAAATGCATATCTTATGTGAGAATAACAGCATTTTGGAAGTTGTGAGAGAAAGCAAACAGAAATTTTTTAATTAAGGATTTGTTTCTTTAAACCTTATAGTTTTGAGGGGGTTTTTTTGGTTTGTTTTTGTTGGTTTTTTTATATGGTGGGGGGTTTTTTTGTGTTTGCTTTTTTCCCATTTGGTTGCTTATTGGTGATGGATAAAGATAGCAGTGACTGGAAGAATCTGACCTTACAACAGTATTTATACCAGAAAGGTCTCATCATCAGATATTTAGATACTTTAAAAAGTTAGGAATAAATCTGAATCAGTTGAAAGAGTCAGGTCTCTCTTCTCTCGTTCCTCCTTGCCTCCAATCATTTACCTTCCCTCTCCTCCCTGCTACACCCACATACCCTGACGTCAGGAGACCATTAAAATTTCAGTGCAATTTTACTTATGGAATGAACTTAACATGAAAACAATGCCTGCATCCCTACACAGGGCCTACCCCAGCATCCCCTCACCCACTCTTCTCACAGCACCCAGAGACCTTCAGAAAATGTCTTCTTTCAACCTCTCCAAATGTAGCAGATCTCATTTGCCTAGGAGAGGGAATAAGAGCAGCCAAAGGTGAGGTGAGATGTCCTGCCATTTGTCTCCTCTCTCTACAAATCTGATAGGATAAGTAAACCATGCAAGTATTACTGCCTTGTCTATCTTATGGGGAGAGAGGAGAAACCTATTTTTGGTGACGTTTATAGTTTCATCCCTTTGGAATGAGAGTATCATTCCGGCATTTGTATAATGCTTGTCAATATCTGGAAACAGGGAAGATCAAAGGTCATGTTAACAACAAAGAAAACAAAACAAATCAGATAATTTCAGTTGCTGAGTATATGGAGTATCCTGAGATATAAGTGGGCATGTGCGTTTGCTTTTCAAGGTATACAAAATATTCACTTATACTTCCAGCAGGGAGGCAAAGCAGAGTTGAAAGTGTATAATATAGATGGTTTTTTAGCATTTTCTATGTCATCCTGTTTCTGGAGTGCACACATAAACAGAGACATTGTCTGGTGTGAATCTATTTGGAGAAGTGAAGTCTTGAAAGGAGTTGAGCTCAGAAAGGCTGTAGACAAAATGGTGTTATTTGCTAAAATAAAACATGTTGCATCTTGTAAGTAAAGTGGTTCAGGACATCCATGCCCCTGACATGCTCAGAAATCCAAAGGAAACATATGACACTCCTGTAGTCTTTCTGGGAAACAGATGATTTTATGCCACCACAATGCTTTATGGACACAGAGAAATTCTTCTTTTATTGGCACCTTTCAGAAGGAAAGATAAGCCTGGATGTTATCACAGTTACACCAGCAGTCACTGACACTTATTAAAGCTAGTTTGTTTGAAAAAGGAGTATCCTAAATTACTAAGTATTTTCCAGAAGATCCAGAAATTATGGGTGTGAAAGAACAAAATATGGATTAAATTCTGCTATCATTTATAGCCATTCAAAATTCATTGAGCCTTCAGCATATCTGAACTACATATGCATATGTAAAAATAGCACATGTACATTTTATTAATTTTGAACTCCTAAGTACTTCAAATAGCATGAAAGGAGACACATACCTTACTGTTTCACTATGGGAGACGAGGTCATATACTTCCTATAGTATAAAATTCTAGATTAAATCTTAATGTTTAATGAAACAGTAATACCAAAACAGTATTTCTGGAGTTATACAATCAAATCATAACAAAAACATAAATTCAATTAACGTCTCTGAAATAACTATTTATTTATAATTTATTATTAAAGCAATAAAAACTATAACTAAATTAATACAAATTTATATTTCACATACATTTCCCAAGGAAGAAAAGAAACTATTGAACTTTCCATGGCAAATAATTCACTCTTCAGCTGTGTAATTGAGTTGAAAAAGATCAGTGTGGATAATTTATCTCACAAGGCACAGTGAATGAGCACTTAGCAGGACTGGGCCCAAAGCAGAGATCAGTAGCTGGGAGTATACACGAGTTACATACAGATCTGTTCTACTTACAACTGCAGATTCTATTGAACAAGAAATTCTGAATGCTAAACTGTGACCTGTATATAAGGCTAAATATGTCTTTGAAGATGGTATAAATTTATCTGGTCAACTCTTTCCCAAAATGAATTGCATACGAAAATTTAAAAAACCTTCTGCAAAATGCTCAAAACATGTTTTTGTAATGTAGGGATAACAGGAACAGAAGTTTCTGATCCTAGCTGGCTCAAAAATTCATACAGCTTTAATGAGCTGCAGAAAATTTAGGTTGTGGTAGTATTTGATCTTAAACTTAAGAGAAATTGTGTAGTTTTGCTATGATTTCTAGTAATTCTGAATTTTCTACCTCGCACATGTTTTAATAGTGGGATAACCTGGAGTGTATTTTGAACTAGATAACCCTGCTAGTCTTTCCTAATACATAGTCTCATTGTTTTGTTCAGAGGAAATACTGGGAATGACAAAGCACTGTCCTAGTCTACGGCAGAATTTTGCCATTCTAATTGGCACAGTGGGAAGGGGTAGGAAGAGATGGTGGTCAGAGGCTATCCTGATTGCATTCCTGCAGAGCAACCACAAGATGGTGCCTACTAATTTCCGAGAGGGAAATTTAATTGTTACTTTTTAATAGAATTTATGTCACAATGTTCACCTACTGTTTAATTGTAGCCTTTCTAAAAATGCTAAAGGCTTGTATTATTTCCCATTGTTTATGATACAAACATCTAATTATGTCATCTGCGTGGAAACATGTTATTATCAGACCTTTTTTATCTAGCCAATCTTGACAATAAATGCTCAGTCATTTGCATTTTATAATTGCTTTTGCTGGTGAATGACCTGCTCCTTGATTTTAACAGGCATTCAGAGGGCAGTGAATAAGCAAGGTTAGGAAAAGAAGCCATTTAAAACAATTACTATATCTTTTTTCTTTTTTTTCTTTATTGATATGCATCAATGTATTATGGGTTTATGTCCATTTCATACATTTAGTTTTGCATAGCTCATATTATTATCACGAAGGTCAGTAAAAACATTGACCTTGAAGACCATTAATACTTAGTACAATATATTGATGATTCTCAGTTTGAGAATGTATTGACCTTTGGTTTTGTGTAGGTTTTTTTAAGTCGTCTCTGAGATTATTTCCATTTTCACACCACCTTCACACAGTAGGATACTACTGTGTCAGCCTTGTGATAGAAACCACATGTGCACTGCTGAAAACTTTAGGATGAAATTCACAGTATTGCTGAAGGCAGTGTCAAGAATATATAGAACATTGCTTGTTGTCGGTCTCGTAAATGGTTGTCCTTGTACCTATCCTGGTAAGGGTTTCTTTGGAGAAGGTGTCATTGTTTTGAGGAGTTATCTGTAAACCTGGCTTTATTAATGCAGTGGTCCACACAATTCCCAAGAGGCAAGGAGGGGTCAAGAGCTGATAGGATGCAAAAGCTGTTGTGCTGCAACCATATGCAGTTGACACCTCATCCTGGTTTTGCTTCTGTCAAATACAA